TAATTAGCCACAGTTCTGGAATTTCCACAGTTTGTGGAAATCTGACAACCTCATAATATCAATTTACTTGTCAACTATGAAAAATGCCTATTCTAGGTCAGCTGGTAGGTATTACATGGAAAGGGCTCTCCAAGGGTACTCATGCCCTCCTGATTAGCACCCCCATAGCTTTTCCTTACTTACATCTTCTCAGACATCTCTGCAATTTTTCACATGTGGCCCTTGCCCTCAGCAAAGGTGCTGTAAGTTCAGTTACTTTTAACTCCTTGGTTGCCTCAAAGTTGTCAGTTGTTCAGTGTAATTTTTTTTTGTTCTTATTTTTTATTTTCTTGTAAGTAAGTGTGCTACAGCAGTGATCATTAGATTTCACTTTACTAGGAATCTTGTGTCTGTCCCTTGATACCTGTTGATATCATCTCTTTCCTTATGTAAAATAGAGTTATATTGGGGGATTGTATAGTAAAGAATGAGAAATGCCTTGTGTTTTTTTTCTGTGTGCCGGTTCTGGGGCTTGATCACAGGACCTGGGTGCTCTCCCTAATTTTTTCTGCTTAAGGCTAGTGCTTGACTTCTTGAGCCACATACAGCTCCACTTCTATCTGTATAGTGCTTGATTTGTCCCCAGGTAATGACTAGTAGGTACTTATTACTATTAGTAACTATATGAACAAAGCTCCCTAACATCTTATCTATTGCTGCATAATTACTCCCAGTGGCTTGAAATAATAATCTATATTATTATTATTATTATCTTTTGTGCCAGTCTGAGAGCTTAAACTCAGGGCTTCGGCGCTGTCCCTGAGCCTTTTTGCCTAAAGCTAGCACTCTACCACTTGAGCCCCAGCTATACTCTTAGTTTTCTTGTGGTCAGTTGGAGATAAGAGTCTCACAGACTTTCCTTCTGGGGCTGGCTTTGAGCTAAGATCCTCAGCTTTCAGCCTCCTCAGTAGCTAGGATTATAGGTGTGAGACATTAGGGCCTGGCTATTATTATTATTATTATTATTATTGTGTACCAGTACTAGGGATTGAACTCATGCCCTTGTGTATTATTCACTTGGATTTTTTGCTTAAGTCTGATAGTCTACCACTTGAATCACAGCTCTACTTCCAGCTTTTTGCTAGTTAATTGGAAATAGAGCCTCACATATACTTCTTCCAGGGCTGGCTTCAAAGAATGATCCTCAGACTTCATCTTTCTGAATAGCAACGTTTACAGGTTTGGGCCACTAGCTAGCTCCAAGCTAAAATCCTTCATTATTATTTTGCTTTTAGGGTTTTGAAATTCTAGGGTGGCTTTGCTCTAGCCCTCATGTGGTCACGGTAAGGGTGTCAGCTGGGGCAGTGTCAACTGAAGGCAGGTTGACCTGCTCCTGAGAAGGCTCACTCACTTGGCTGTTGGTAGGAGGCTTTACTTCTTTGGCACTTGGTCTCTGCACAGGCCTATTGAATGTCTTTGAGACTGAAAAATGCCTTTTCCCCAAAGTAAGTGATCCCACAGAGGCAAAGAGCAAAGCAGAAATCACATAGACTTTCCTGACCTAGCAAGTTAAATCAGGTAATAATAGGTGAGCCATATCTATTGTGTCACAGGATGCAAATACCAGGGAGGCCCACATGGGTAAGGCCATCCTAGAAGCTGACACACCCACTTGGTAGCTGAAAATGTGATTGATTAAGAAGGGTCTTCCTGTATAGCTCAGGCTGGCCTTGAACTCTCCATCCTTCTACTTCATCCTTAGCCATGTTCTAAACTGAGAATCTGAGATCCTCTCTCCTGCAAACCAGATCCCCTGCAGGCTTCCTTATCTCAAGATGGCAATACCATTCTTCCCATTGCTTGGCAGGGAAGACCTAGACTTGCACTTACTTCTCTTCCTCTCACATCTAGTTATCTGGCAGCAAGAGCTATGGGCTCTTCAACATAGGCCAAGAGTTTAACCCTGTCGTCATCTGTACTGCACCCACCTAGTCCATGTTCCATTCACCCCTCTTCAGGGTTTTGTAGAAGCCTGCAACAGACCAGTCTCCTGTGGTCCTTCTCTCTGCAATAGCTGGTGGCTATTTATTTATTTACTTAAGTAATATATAATTGTACAATGTGGTTACAAGACTCAAATCTCTTTGTACCTCTCTCTAAGTGCTTCCTTAATGCTTCCTTTGATTCCAGACCTGTCTGGCCTTGAGCATATGTATTTAGCCTCCCTTCCTGAAAGCCTCCTTCCAGAAAGCCCCTGCTCAGGCCCTAGCTGAGTGATCTCCTGCCTTTCACCTGCCCTTCCTCCTGAGAGCTTCCTCTGCTTCCCACAGCACTATTCCAGCCTGTTCTAGGGCTTCTGCATCCTGCCTGCTTCTGCTTCATTCGTCTGCCCTGCCTTTAGTCTTCCTCCTTAGTCCCCTATTCTAGCCTTTATTTAATTAAAACAAACAAAAATCTATGAGCTAGCAAACAGGGTTTTAAAAACCTTGTTAAGGGCTGTAAGTGGACTTTCATATTAGTATATTCTTGAAGCTGTTTTCATTTTAACTTTTAAAAATGTAGGTGTTACCTTTCCTCACAAATATGGTTGAAGTTAACATACCAGAAACATTTGTAACTCATCAGTATAGTGTGTTATTTCTTGCCCAAGATTAGTAGATCCGATTACAGGGATGAAAAAAGAAAAAGTAGTTTAGGAGTTTCCCTTATATGAACTGTTTCTTTTGTGAATAGATTGCAAGTTAGGCATGTAATTTAGAGAGTGAATTAAGGTCTAAGGTCCTATGGAGAATTATAAGGAGAGTCATTAGGAAAAGTACAAACTATGTATTCAGAGACTATGTCTTTTATTTTCTAATGGACAGATAAAAGCTGTATATGTTTACTGGGTGCTACGTGATGTTTTAAAATATGTATATATTGTGGAATGGCTCCAGCTTGCACATTACCTCATTTATTTTTTGTTTTAGTAAAAAGAATTAAGCTCTGCTTCTTACCCATTTTTAAAATCTGATACACTGTTACAAAAATTATAGCCATCATATTGCACAATAGAGCTCTTGAACTAATTCTTCTTGCCTAATTGAAACTTTGCATCCTTTGACCAACCTGAATTGTATATTATATGTTGACTTAAGAATGAAAAGGTGAGCATACCAGGGATGGTTAGGAAAGATGTGTTGCCTACAACTATGGACAGTGGGAAAGCAGACCCACCCCTCTGTTGGCAGACAATTTGACAAATTTGTCAAGAATGGTAGATGTGGGGGCTGTAGTAGCCCACTTGAGCCCAGTTTGCCAACTCTATGCATGATATTGTGCATTATGTCTTAGGAGTCAAGGGAGCTGGCCTGACCCTGCTCTCACATGCCCAGGAGGCAGAGAGATGGACTGTGAAAGCAGAGGGAGGACAGGGCCCTGGGGGAGGGTGGAATAGAATGACTGCCCCTTGAGGTGGTGCATTGAGAGGAACAGTGAAAGTGTTAGTGGGATTTCAGGAGGGAGGTGGAGGAAGGAAGGAGGGGAGGGCCCCAGGGCAGCCTGTGCCTTGGCTGCTTCTCCACATTAGTCATCTGGGGCCTTGTTCAGAAAGCAGATTCCAGATCTGCTGGGCAAGCTGGAGGCAAAGCTGCTTCTGCATTTCACACCCCACATCCCCTGTGTGGGGCTCCCTGCCTCTGCTTCCTTAACCTGTGGGGTTAGGGCCACTCCCTGAGTGGCTCATGGAAGGGAGCCAAGCAGAGGCCAGGAAACCAAGGGACCAATGGCTCCAAACCACTTGACCTTCCCTTGGTCCTAGGTCTGTTACCACAGCCTTGGGCTGTCTCCTTCCTCTACAAGTTTCCTTGGTAACTTCTGCTTAGAATGTTACTTTTGTCTTTCAGAAAGGAATTGATTCTATCATTGGTTGATTTTTAATTTTTTTAAATAAATTGCCAGTCTGTCTTCCTGTGATGAAATCCAGTGATACACTTTGAAAAGCATATGGGGGAAGAAGGGGTTGTCAGTCATTCTTTTTTTTTTTTTGGGGTCCAGTTGTGGGGCCTGAACTCTGGGCCTGGGTGCTGTCCCTCAGCTCTTCAGCTCAAGGCTAGCGCTCTACCACTTGAGCCACAGCGCTACTTCCGGCTTTTTTCTTTTTGCTTATGTGGTGCTGGGGAATTGAACCCAGGGCCTCAGGCATGCAAGGCAAGCGCTCTACCACTGAGCCACCTTCCCAGCCCTGTGTCAGTCATTCTTTTCAAGCCATTGTGATCCCATTTAGCTGGGGTCAGCCTAGCATGAACCTCCCAGCTAGCATTAGATAGCACAGGATTCCCCCCTTTTGGCGTGTGGCAGAACTGGGCTAGAGATGATTAACAGGGATAGGCAGCTTAGAAAGTATGGTGGCAAAAGAAAAACCTGAACATCACAGAAGTGTTTTTCTTCTTCTCCCTAAGGGCCAGCTGTTCCCTCCCAGGGCTACCCCATACTAGGCTGATTTCAATACAGTGGTGGGGCCTTCCATGTTTACATTAGGAATTTGATCCTTTTGGCTGTGTGTGTGTGTGTGTGTGTGTGTGTGTGTGTGTGTGTGTGTGTGTGTGCATACATGCATGTGTGCTGGGTACTAGCACTTAACTCAGGGCTTTGTATTCTCATTTGACTTTCTTACCCAGGGCTAGCATTCTTTCACTTGAGACACACCTCCAATCCAGCATTTTGTTGATTAATTGGAGATGGAATCTCACAGATATTCTGCCTGGGCTGGCTTTGAACTGCTATCCTTCAGTTCTCAGCCTTCTGAGTAGCTAGGATTACAGATGAGCCACTGGCGCCTAGCTAAGGAATTTGATCCTTTTATTTAGGCCTCTCTCTACCTTTCCTACCTAAGAATTGAAACAGGTCATATTTCTTAGTTACATTGTAATCCCTAGAGAACTCTATGGCTGTTGTTGTTTTGCTTTAACACGATAGGCATGTATGTCCACAAATATGTACTAAATATACACATGCATGTACGTTTCCAATTTTCTTCCTAGATTTTGTCCCTAATTGCGTTCATCTGCATTGAAACCATCATGGAATGCTCCCCGTGCGAAGGCCTCTACTTTTTCGAGTTTGTAAGCTGCAGTGCATTTGTGGTGACTGGAGTCTTGCTGGTTCTGTTCAGTTTCAACCTCCACATGAGGATTCCCCAGATCAACTGGAACCTGACAGTGAGTATAGGCCATACGACTACCTGAGGATTGGGGCTGCTTGGAGACTTGGAACCTCTCTAGTCAAGGGAGACTTGGAACCTCTCTAGATCATGTTTGGTTCTAGTTTATTTTAACATTTAAATATCTCATCATAGTTGATCTGTGAAATTTTAAAATTTCTTTACCTATTTGTCTAAAACTACAATATGAATTAAATCTTAACCCATCATAGGAACACCATAGCAAAATTGTCTAGGCTCTTTTAAAGATGTCATTTTTACTTGATGATCATCTGAGAAGATTCATTGTGTTGGTATTCTCAAAATATGGGAAAGTGGCATTAATACATTTGCATATTTTTTAGACTAGACACAAAAGCTAGTTACAAAAATATTGATTTTGGAGGAATTGAAAGTATGAATATAAATGTTCATGGCTTGTGAAGTTTAGAAGTAATTATTAATCTGGAGCATCTGGGAAAGGCTTGAGTGCTTTGCTCAAAACATCTTTGATAGAAACGTATGCTTGGGGCTGGGAAGGTGATCAGTGGTAGAGTGCTTGCCTTGCATGCATGAGGCCCTGGGTTTGATTCCTCAGCACCACATAAGCAGAAAAAAGCCAGAAGTGGCACTGTGACTTAAGTGGTAGAGCCTTAGCCTTGAGCTGAAGAGTTAAGGGACAGCACCCAGGCCCAGAGTTCAGGCCCCCGACTGCAGAGAAAAAGAAAAGAAAGGTATGCTTTCTGCTGGGACAGGTGGCTCCCACCTTTAATCCTAGCAACTCAGAAGGATGAGCTCTGAGGATCGCAGTTCAAAGCCAGCCTAGACAGAAAAGTCCACGAGACTCCTAGCTCCATTTAACTACCAGAAAACTGGAAGTAGCAATGTGACTAAAAGTGATAGAGCACAGGGACAGTACCCAGGCCTGAGTTCAAGCACCATGACTAACCAAAAAAAAAAAAAAAAGGCATGCTTCTTTTTCTCTGTGGTTTGAGTTCTTAGCCCGGTTTGGACATGTGGTCAGTTGCCATGGGAAGCTCAGAGTCAGTCAGTCTCAGGCCCCTTTCCTGCAGAGTTACATTCACTCTTCAACTCCTCAGCCCAGTACTTTCCTCGGCTAGTGTTTATTGAGAGGGCCTTAGTAACTTCAGGCAACTGGGATACCAGTGAATAAGACGACCTCGGCCTTGCTCCCAGAATGTTTATTATTTTCCTGAGTACTTGGGATTGAACCTAGGGCCTCATACTTGCTAGACAAGAACGCTATTATTTGAGTTCTGCCCTTAGATTGTTTGAGCTATACTTGAGATTTATTTATATTCATCTTATTTTAATTTTTGCCAGTACTGGAGTTTGAACTCAGGACCTTATGCTTGTAAGGCAAGCAGGCAGGTACTATACTGCTCAACCAGTGCTTCCAGCTCTCAGAGATTCTAATGTTAACAAATCTCCATTTGAGGGATTTATTCTGTGGTGTTTTTCTCTGTATACTAGGAGCTCACACACTTATGTTCCACCCTTTTTATCTCCATTAGTGTCCAGGCTACGTGCTCATCCCGTTCCTCCCTTCTTCCAGCATTTGCTCACCTGGCCCATCTGCTTGTGGATGTCTGACCCACTACCCCAAACCTGTCAGTGGCTTCTATCTTCTTAGTTGCCACCAGAGCCAAGGCCTGCGCATCCAAACTTCCCTAAAGAGATTTGAACCTGCCTGCCTTCACTACTTCCATATAGCCTGGTTGCTTTTCTAATTATTAACTGTTAAGAAAATCCTGGCAGTTCATGTATATTATAATGAAGAATTACAGTGATTATGTAGCTACCACCTAAGGCAAGAATTTGGATATTCTCCTCTGTGTTATTTCCAAAGACAAGTTCCCCTTCTCCAACTCACCATCCTAACCTGGCCAATCTGGCTTCTGTCCCCACACCACCATTAAAAGCCCTCATATTCTGGATCCTCCATCTGCTCAGGGCCTCACCCCACTGGTAGTGACTTCTTTGGGATTCTCCATCCCTCTGGCCATGCTTTCTGTGCTTTCCCATATGTCACCTGTTCCTGGCTTCCTTCTTCCTTGGCTGTTCCTGCTTAATGGCCACTAGTTCTGGCTCTTTGCCCAGATTCTTCCTATCTATGAACCTAGACTAGTGTCATGGTGGATTCAGAAAGGTTTAGAGTCATTCAGAGCGGCTGTTTTGGAGCCCTGAGCCCTTAATCATGACTCGTCCTCCCCTTCATACACATCAAGTATCTATGCCATGCTAAGCAATCCTTAACTCTTCAACAGCAATTAGGTGTTCAGTACTTCATTCATCTTTGATACCAGCTCCCACAGTTAGCACAGACAGATCCACAGGTTCATGGCTCAGCTCTAGATTGTCTTGCTTCAGATAACAGTTTCAGCTGGAGTGTGCAGCTACTTCGGCCTGGCTCACTACAGATTTGGGTTTCCACAAGCCCTTCTCAGGCTCCATAATTTTCTACCATGGCTCACAAAACTCAGGAAAATAATTTCCTTGCAATTCTGGTTTGTTAAAAGCATAAAGCTTGTGGGCAGCCAAATGAAAGAGATGCACAGGATGAGGTTTGTAAGGGCCAAGTGTGCAGGAGCTTTTGTCCCTGTGTGGTCCCAGTATTTGAGTGTACCTGCCAATGAAGGAGCTCCTGGGCCCCACAGTTTGGGGTATTTTTGAAAGTGAGATTTCCTTAGGGAGGCATGATTATTGGTCAAATCATTGGTCACTGGGTAATTGAACTCAGCGTTCAGGGCAAGAACTAAAAGTTTTTACCCTTTATTCCTGCAGTTACTTTTTCTGGCTACCACCCTGGCCCCCACCCCCACCCTGTGCTGAAATTATCACCTCTTCCCTACCAAGAGTGACTTCATTAGCTTGAACTGAAGCCTAATTAGCCAGCCATAGTAACATACATATATTGGTAATTCTAGCTACTTGAGAGATGATGGTAGAAGGATTTCTTGAGGTCAGGAGTTTGAGACCAATCTGGGCAACTTAAGCCCTGTCTCAAAAAAAAGAGCAAACTTCAAAGCTTTCTGTAAATAAGCAAAAATGCTTTTTGACTCAAGAAATTTCAATAATTTGATCAAATCTATAGCTCTGTGTGTATGTGTGTGTGTGTGCGCGTGCGTGTGCACATGCACACACACGTGTGTGTGCTGGTATCAGGGCTTGAACTCAATACTTCACACATTCTCACTTGGCTTTCTTGCTTGTGGCTAGTTCTCTATCATCTGAATGAGGCCTACAGACTGGTATTTGAGCCACTAATGTGCATCGGTCTGTGATGACTTAGGGTGGATCCAGTGCATAAGAGTCTCATTCCAGATCATTTAGAAAACATTGACACCTGCTTCATGCCAGGTTTTGGGACTAGAAGTAGAGTTCAGGCTGCAAACTGCTCTTCAGTGAGATGAGTGCTCACCAGGATCTGGTGGTATGTGAGGTTAGGACCACTGGTGAGCAGGTGAGTGTCTCAGTAGCAGATATGGGCTGGGCAGGACACTCAGAGGAAATGCCAGGCTCCAAATGGGCCTCAAGGTATAAGAAGTGATTTCTTGGAGCTGGGAATGTGGCTTAGTGGTAGAGTGCTTGCCTAGTATGCATGAAGCCTTGGGTTCAATTCCTCAGTACCACATAAATAGAAAAAAAAAAAAAAGTGATTTCTTGGCACAGAGTATGGAACGGGGTCAGGACTCACCAGGGATGGGCATATGGCACAAACAGGTAAGAAAGGAGATGGAGGGCTAGGAGTCTGGGACAGAGAGGGTGGTCCCCTGCTTAGTGCTAGCTGATTTGTGATGCTTTATAGAACTGCTAGTACAATTTTTCAAGAATAGTTAGTGTTGTCCAGGCCAGATGGTATTGATCTTTTATTGGGTTGCCTAGGTATACACCTGTGCTTACAGGGGTATGTTATTGAAAGCAAGAGCAAAAGCATTTGTTTACATATGGCATTCTTCCTCATCTCTTAGCATAAGGAGGGGCAGTAACCTTTCAGGAACCAGACAGATGACATAAAGTGGTTGTGTGAGACCGCAGGGAGTGGGGAGGACTGTGGCAAACCAAAGAGAACCTGTCTCATCAAAGGCATTAAAACATTTAGACACCTATTTTGACGTTTAATCCCATCTTCCTTTGATGACACACCGAGGGATGCCCTTAATATAAAGGACAAGTCAACAGCTTGATTCTGTCACACAGCACAGGAACTCACATTAATTGAGCGTGCTAAATAACTTTGATAATATCCCAGTCTTGAGCCTTTTATTAATTGAGCAAGTAATAAATGTTTGTTGTAGAAAAATTAGAGGATAAGTATTTTTAAAAATCTGTGATGAAACTGGGTGCCAGTGGCTCATGCCTGTAATCTGAGCTACTCAGGAGGCTGAGATCTGAGGATCACAGATCAAAGCCAGCCCAGGCGGGACTCTTATCTCCAATAAACCACCAGAAAACCAGAAGTGGTGCTGTGGCTCAAGCAGTAGAGTGCTCGCCTTGAGCTGAAGAGCCCAAGGACAGAGTTCAAGCCCCACAACCGACCAAAAAAAAAAAAACTTTGATGACTCAAGAGAAAGGCAAGCATTAATTCAAATAAAATCTTATAAGCTCATAACTATTCATAATAAACAAAAAGTAGGATAATTCTTAGAATCATTATGCTAAACAGAATAAGCCATGTACAGACCACATATAGTATGTCAGTCTGTTTCTATGAGATATACAAATATAGGCAAATTAGAGACCCGAGTACAGGTTAATGATTGCCTAGGATTGGGATATGAATGAGGAATGACTGCTAGTGAGTGTGATATGTATGTGTGTGTGTGTGCTGAAAATGTTGTGCTTCTGATTGCAAACCTGTAGTACTAGCTATTTGGAGGCAGAGATAAGGACTTGAGGTACAAGGTCAGCCAGGGCATAAAAGTTTATGAGACTCTGTCTCAACCAATGGCTTGATAAGGTGATGTGCACCTTTTATCTCAGCTATGGGGGGAAGCACAATGGCTGGGTGCACTGGTGCGAGCCTGTCATCCCAGTGACACAGGGAAGCACAAGTAGAATGATTGCAGCCCGAGCACAAAGTGAGACTCAGCCTGAGACCAGTGTATCAAAAGAGAAGGCTGGCTGGGTGCTAGGTAGCTCACACCTATCACACCTAGCTACTGAGGAGACTGAGATCTGAGGATCATGGTTCAGAGCCAGCTGGGACAGACAAGTCCAAGAGATTCTTAACTCTAATTTACCAGTAAAAAGCTGGAACTTGAGGTATTTCTTAAATGTAGAGTGTCAGCCATGAGTGAAAAACCCAAGGGAGAATGTGAGGTCCTGAGTTTGAGCCTCAGTACCTCAGTACCTAGAAAAACAAAAAGTATCTGTGAATGTGTAAAATACCCCAACTGGGCCAGGTGCTGTGTGGGGCTTGTTACCTATGTGGTTCTATTTAATCCCCAGAGCAACTCTGGGAGGAAGGGGTTTGAAAACAGAAAAAGTATGTTCTTGGAAAATAGTATATACTGTAAGTGTCCCGCATGATGGTGAGGAAGGCAGAGGGACTCCCCTGTTTTGGTTCATTTGGATTCGTGGAGAGCTTGTTCCACATCCGGATGTCAGTGTTGTCTCCTCCTTTGGTTTTTGGTGGTGTTGGGCTTTGAACCTCTGGCTTTGTGTTTGTAGGAGGTATTCCACCATTTGATCCACACCTCCAGTTCTTTGCTTTATTATTTTATTTTATTGTGTTTTTCTGCACAGGGTCTTAGGTTTTTGGCAAGGATGGGCCTTGAACCAAGATTCTCCTACCTATAGCTTCCTGCATAGCCAGGATTCCTGTCATACACCACTACCCTCATATTGATGAAGATACAATGTCAATAACTTTTTGTCTGGGATGTCCTTCTGATCTCTGGTTTGCTTCCTGAGGAGTTAGGATTACAGGAGTGAGCTTCTGTGCCTGGCTTATTTTCTTTGTTAAATTTTGAGTATCTAGGGGCTGGGAAGGTGGCTCAGTGGTAGAGCACTTGCCTTGCATGCATGAGGCCCTGGGTTCGATTCCTCAGCACCACATAAGCAAAAAAGAAAAAAGCCGGAAGTGACCCTGTGGCTCAAGTGGTAGAGCGCTAGCCTTGAGCTGAAGAGCTGAGGGACGGCGCCCAGGCCCAGAGTTCAGGCCCCACGACCGGACCCAAAAAAAGAAAAAAAAATTTTTGAGTATCTATTTGAAATGATGAAACTAGAGGCTTGGGGGTACAGCTTAGCAGTAGAGTGCTGGCCTAGCATGCATGAAGCCCTGGGATTCATCACCAGCACTGTAACTAACAAACTAAGTAAATAAATCAGAACTCTATAAATGGTAACAACTTTAAACGTTAATTAATGTTACTAGGTTTGGTGGTCATTTAGGTCAATGACTGGAGATGTAGTAGGGGGGAAATATGGATTTGGCTGTGGCAGTTTGCCCAGCAACGGCATAAACTGTTACTTTGTGTGACTAAAGTCTGTGTGATGTGGAGACCGAGGTTCAGAACTATCTGAAGTTAGTTGTGGACCTTTGTGTGGAAGTTCTTTGGTTGCTTTTAGGCAGACTTTTTTCAAGTGGTTTTATTTGATCTTTTTCCTTAGGATTTGGTCAACACTGGACTCAGCACTTTCTTTTTCTTTATTGCCTCCATCGTACTGGCTGCTTTAAACCACAAGACCGGAGCAGAGATTGCCGCTGTGGTAAGCAACTGGAAGGGTTAAAGGGCAAGCTAATTTCACACTTCTGGGCTCTTTGTTCCCGTGCTCTTGCCTGTCCCCTGACATGTGTCTGGCCATGGAGTTAAGATGTGGGAGCTTGCGACCAGATAGAAGGCACTCATACCTTGTGCTCTATGTTTTTATATACTTTCCACTTGTAAGGGTCATGTATTCCTCCGTCTCTAGTGGGAGGATTTAAAGGTTTTTAAAACTCATTTATCTGACTGTTCTATAAATACCACTTAGTAGCTTATTTAAGCCTGCCTGGATAATGCAAGCCCTACTGCTTGTCACCTGGAGCTGCTGACTGGGGTGGCCCAGATGAGTAGGCAGCAGGTGGTTGGGGGGGCTGCGAGCTGTCAGCCTTTTAGCTTGATGTGAGACTCTGAAATTCTTTTTTTTTTTTTTGTCAGTCATGGGGCTTGAACTCTGGGCATGGCCACTCTCCCTGAGCTCTTCAGCTCAAGGATATTACTCTACTACTTGAGCCACAGTGCTACTTCCAGTTTTCTGGTGGTTTATTGGAGATAAGAGTCTCACAGGGGCTGGGAAGGTGGCTCAGTGGTAGAGCGCTTGCCTTGCATGCCTGAGGCCCTGGGTTGGATTCCTCAAAACCACATAAGCAAAAAGAAAAAAGCCGGAAGTGGTGCTTTGGCTCAAGTGGTAGAGTGTAGGCTTGAGCTGAAGAGCTGAGGGACAGCGCCCAGGCCCAGAGTTCAGGCCCCACGACTGGACCCAAAAAAAAAAAAAAAAAGAGTCTCACGGACTTTCCTGCCTCAGCTGGCTTTGAACTGTAATCTTCAGATCTCAGCCTCCTGAATAGTTAGGATTATAGGTGTGAGCCACCAGCTCCTGGCTAAAATTCTTTCTATATCATATTTCATATACCTTTTCACATTTGGAGCTGAGCCTATGAATTACATGCGATAAAAGATGTACTTTAGTGATTTTTTATTTTGAAGGTCCAAAGTGTATCAAAAACTCCTTAGGCTCTTCAGGTCAGTAGCATTATCTGTGGGTCACATGACTAGAGACTCAAGACAACTGTAATAACTATTCATTGAGCAGAGCAGAGGATGGGAACAGCTGGATGGAGTTCATGCAGATCAGGTCCCCATGAAGCCATCAGGTCCAAGGCTAATGGTGTCTGTGTACTTTAGATATTTGGCTTCTTGGCAACAGCAGCTTATGCAGCGAGCACTTTCCTGGCTGTGCAGAAATGGAGAGTCAGCATCCGCCAGCAGAGCGCCAATGACTACATTCGAGCCCGCACCGAGTCTAGAGATGTGGACAGTCGCCCGGAGATCCAGCGTCTGGACACGTGAGGACCCCCAGAGTCCTGCTTCTACCACATGCCCACCTGTCCTTCAATCAAGTTTTCTTTCTCTGAGCACATTAGATCATCATGTGATTCCATTGAATTGTGTCCCCTTTGGTAAAAATTCACTTTGGGAAAGGCTTTCTAAAGTGGCCCAGTGGTCAGCTTTGTGTGGCTGGAGAGGCCTGTATCCTCTGGCCCTGGGTGGCTGTGGGGGCAGCACCCCTGCTGACCACCCATGTCCACTCTAGGTCTCAGCTGTCCCAGAGCATTGGCTCTCATCCCAGAGCCACTTTGTCATATGTATTTCTGATGAGTCAGAACTTGGGGTTAAATGGGGCTGCTAAGTGTCAGGACACGAAGGTCTAGGGTTGCAACAGTCAGCCTTGATTTCTGGGCAGCCCCTGTAGTGGGCTCTTGGTGGATGTTAAGTCTGTCTGCCAGGATCCACCCTCCTCATCGTCTTCCATACCTGGGGTGCCCGAAGGCCACGTGGGATTCTGAGGATCTTGGTGATGGATGTGTTGGTGGATCTCTTTGCTGTGTCTGTGTGTTGCAGGGACAGGAAAAGCTGGTGTTCTGTGGGGACAGCTCCATGGGACACTGACTTATGGGAAGGTCACCATTTTTCTCCCACCTTGCTGAGAAATCATTTGATTCTTCCTCAAAAGGACCACCTTCCTAAGTCCCAGACTCATCCAGTGATATGGGGACCATGTTGTTTGCCAGTTTCCTGCCTACCCTAAATACCTGGAGGCTGAATTGCAGAGTTCCTGCAGTTTCATCTTCTTAGGTAAAAGCCACGAAGATAACATAGCCCATTCCACCAGCCAAAGCACTTGCCAGCCTGCTGGCCTCCTGGACAACATATGGGAAGTTTTTGTGTGTGTGTGTTTGTGTATGTGTGTGCACTCACACATGTACACACACACACACACACCTCTGTTTTATGGATATGAACTAACTTTCTAAATACCTGAGAAGAGTTCTAAAGTCATTCTGGGTAGACTTGTTTAGGATTCAAGCATACTTGAATTTTTACCAGGGCATGTCCTTCCACGGATGTTCCAAGGCACTAATTGTTGCTTTGGATGTTATCATTATGAACATCATTCTTGGAAGCTGTTGGGGGAAAAATTCTAGTTTTTTGATTGGTTCTTGATAAAGTGAGGATTATTTTTGTGGTGAATGAGTTAAATAAGCCCCTAGGATGCTGTAGTTTTTGTGTTGTTAGAGAGTAATTTTATCTTTTATGGAAAAACTATCTTAATTTGTCAGGTTTTTCACTCTAAACCATTGTAATGTTTACAGACCTCACTCTAGCTCTAGTATTTTGGAATTAGCCCTACTGAGGAAAAGACATTGTTGGCAGGAAGGTCTTGCAGTAGTGTGGAGAGCCCCCAGGATCTTGTACCAAGGATGGCTCATAGCCCCACAGTGTGCTAAGAACTAAACAGCCGAGAAGGGGGTGGTACACATGTTTAGCTTGGGGAGGAGAACACGTGATACGTCTCTCTAAGCCTGTGTGGCACTGCAGTCTTCAGGAAAGAACAGTATCTGAGTTAACAGTGAAGAGGGCCTGCTGGTCAGTAGATGGCAGTCTGGTGGTCAGGGCCCAAGGTCCGCTCCTTAAACCCAGTGTCCATCACAGTCCACTTCTGCTGTGGTTCCTGTCTGGGGCATGGCCCAGGTCGCATGGCCCAGGTCACATGGCCAAGCTTGTGTCTGGTTTCAGGGGCTGACCCAGCTAGTCTTAGTGGTAACTCCTACCCCTCCCTGCGTCTCCCACAGAGGGTAGGCTGGGTCTGGCCCCATGCCTGGTGAGTCCGGTGGAGCCTACTTCACATGTCTGTCTGAGTCAGATCACCTCATGCTTCCCCAGCTTTGAATTTATTAGATGGGGTGATATGGGGGGATGATGGCATCTGGATTTTATCTGTTCATTTTACATGTTTATTTGAGTGTGTCTGCATGATCAAAAATGGGCTTATCTTCCTCTGAGAATTCCATTCAAAATCAGTTCACAAAGACCCAGCCATGCATCAGCTGGGGCCCACTTGGAAGGACCACCCTGAGCTTTATCAGGAATCTGCCAGGAGTCATATTACTTGGCCTTGGTAGAAGGCCACTTTTGAAGTGAGTTTGAAAAAAAACAATTTAGGCGGGATTGTTGCCTGAGTTTCCCCTGGTCAGCTCAGTAAAAACAGTTTCTCATCTGGTGAAAAGGTACAATGCCTGGCCTCCTGAGGATGTACTTTCAGCTGAAAGGAAGAGGTCTGAGGCCCAAGAAGACAGTAAGTACCCAGGGAGGCTAGGAAGCCATGCTGTCTTGTGCCCAGACAGGCTTGGGAGTTAATTTGCATCTTAGAGATAGAAATCTTTGGCATTATTTATGTCTCAGTAACTATTTAATTCCTTTGTGATATGAGGCTTCCCAAGGGTTTTGTAAATGTATTTCCTTGTTCTATTTAATTAGTTCTCATCAAATCAGAAGTGGCCTGTATACGTTCTGAGTGAGCAGAGTGCACTGAGTGTACTGAGGGTGTGGCCTGAGGAACAGTAAAGAAGGATGATGGTCATCTGCAGTGCTGTCAAGACACCTGTATTTTTCTTAGTTGTCTCTAAGTTTTGGGGTCTTAAATTGATCTCTGCAAATTGAAGGAAACATGTTGTGTGTGTGTGTGTGTGTGTGTGTTGTGTGTGTGTGTTGTGTGTGTGTGTATGGGCATGTGCACATGCACACACACCAGTCCTGGGACTTGAACTAGGGCCTGGACACTGTCCCTGAGCTTTTTTTGCTCAAGACTAGCACTCTGCCACTTGAACTACAGATCCACTTCTGGCTTTTTGGTAGTTAATTGACTTTCCTGCCCTAGCTGGTTTTGAACCATGATTTTTAGATCTCAGTCTCCTGAATAGCTAGGATTGTAGCACCCAGTGTTTTTACACTTAAGTCATTCCAGTATGGACTGGTGCCACTTAAGTTTGGGGTATTTCAAGGCTGAGGTAAGCTTAGTTTTCTCCATTTTCTGGTGGAATAAATTGACTTGGAGGGTCCAGAGTGTTTCTGCAGATGAAGGGATGAAGTCCTCTAGCACTGGTAGACCCTCTAATGGTTTGGATGGGTACAAACACTGTCATGTTCAGAGGAAGTTTGTTTTGGCACTAGTTTGGTCTATTGGATGTTTTCTTTCTGATTCTACTTCACAAAGCCAAGGCATGGGGAGGGAGAAGTACCTTTTCCTGTTCGTAGAGAGCGGCTATAGTCATTAAGATCTCCTCAGAGAAGCTCAATTTAAAGCAAACAACTATCCAAAGAAAATTGCTTTTGTCTACAAAGAAAGCAAGAATACAGCAGTGCTCACATCTTCCTTAGGAACATGAACAGATTGGGCAGAGTGCAGCCACTGTGCAATCCCCAGGAAATCAGTGAGGACCAGTAAGTAAGGCTCTGAGGTCTTGGTCCTGGAGCCCCTTTTGTTACCGTGCCATGTCTGGTATGCTTGGTCTCTACCTCATCCTGGGTGCTGCTGGCAAGAGCTTTATGGCTCGTGGCTTGGTTGGAAATATTCTTGTTCTTTTCAAGTTGTCAGTGTCCTTGGCCCTCTCTGAAGCTTTCCTGGCCATGCAGGCCTGGGTTAAACACAGGCAGTTATGATGAAGGCTTCTCATCCGTGGATATATGTAAGTCTTGCTTGGATAATCCTTTGTGAGGCCCAAGCTCACCCCTTCTATAAAGAAACCCCTGACCTCTTCACATGATCTCAAAGGTGGGTCAAGGTTTCATCCCTTTCCACACCGGATTTTCTGTGGGTTGATGACTTGTTACTCTTAGTGCCAACAGAGAGTGGAGTGTGTTCTCGTGGCCAGGTTTTGATAATGTAGGTGGTTCCTGCTCTGTGTTCAAAGCAAAGCAGTCCTGTAGTCACTGTGCCATTGCTGGCTGCTGTTTTCTCCTAGATCTAGTCCACAGAGCAGTAGTCACATTGATGAGGTAGCAGGAAGGAGAACACACTGTAGACCAAGAGCTCTAGTCAGTTCTTGTGAGTAAGAGAAGGCTGCTTCTGACTCTGAGTGCTGCTGCTGTCTCTGAAGGTCTCCAGAGGCCTTTCTAACCCCTAATGATGTTGTAGGATTCAGAGTTTCTCTCTTTGCTATCTGGCTATCTGACCAAGGCCAGCTAGGCAAGGGCTGAGTGCCCAGTTAATGTCTGCCCAAGGACAGAAGGGGAGAGAGGAAGAAGAAAAAGAGGAGGAGAGACTGCTGCTGGTAGCACTAGACTTGTTTACAATCCCAGACTGCCCTGGAAATGTGTACCTGGCTAACTACTTTCCTGTGCCTTTGTCTTGTTTTCATGAATGAGCTGGAGGGAGAGTTGACATGGGGACCACTCTTCCCTGGTGCTGAGGGGCCTCTTGGTATGGAGTCTGGGTACAAGCAGGTGACTGATCCGGCTTAAGTGCACCCCAGGCAGGACACAGACCTAACAGGACCACCACCTTCTTGCTTTGTAAATTTTCTTCACTCTATAAAATGTATTTTTTTCCTCTTCCCAAAGACATCTTCAAAATCATAATATCATTCTGGGCTCAGAAAGCAATTTGAAATATTTGACCTTTTGTGTTTCCTTTATTTAGAAATTGTCTCTGAAAGAAAATGCCTTTGGTGTGTTAGAGCTAGAAGAATTTTCTTCTGAGAAGGGAGTGTTCTGTGGGGCAACTTCATGCCAGTAAATAGCACTTGCACACTTCAGCCTGAAACACTATTGTCTTTGCAGGAATATGTTCTTTTCCATTTGGGCATAATTTCTCAGCCTTTAGGATATTTTTCTTTCTAGTTTTTCTTACTCCATAAACAACAGTAAAGAAAAGGCAAGGAAAAAAAGATGATCTATAAGCCTACTGAGCTTGAAGCCCTAGCAACTTAGGTCCTGGACTAGCATGGCTGTGTTGTCAGGTTAGTTTATCATCTACTTTCTTTTTATGCTGAGATTCTGGTTCAGAGTTAATTGCTTGTTAATATTGTGCCTGGTGGGAAACAAGATTCTTAGCATTATTCGTGTCAGATTCTGTGATAGTCAGAAGCTACCAACCCTGAGTTGTCTTTGGACACTGCTGCTGGCACCCATTGGGAAGTGCCCCCTCCCCCCTTTAAAAATCAGGAATGGCCAGGAGTTGAGGGCAGTGAACCGGGTGCCCAGAAGGCGGGGCCAGACCTGATAGCCACAGCCGCTCTTCAAGCCCTGCTTTGCATCCCTGACTATCAGAATTTTGCCTTAGCAAGTTTAAAGACTTTCCTTCCCTCTGGAAGTGAAGAAGACCAGTGTTCAGGGATGAAGGGAGAATCTAAGGTTCAGCAGCTGGGGAGGAATGAGGGCAAGGGCAGGAGGTCTGGGGTGGCCCCTACCTTGGCTTACACCCAGAGGGTCCACTAATGTCTGACTTTCACTCTAACTCATTTCAGAAAGGTTTCAAGTCATGATGAAATTAACCTAGTTGCCTAAAAACAGTGCTTTTTATAACCTGGTTTTGTCTGACATAGCCCCCTCTAGGAGAATGCTAGGGACTGAAGATATTTGTATATGTTGAGTTTGTAGGGGTTCTAGAACCCATGGCAGAAACACTACACTATTTATTACAGGTATGACTGTATTTTTTTTTCAAAGTAGGCAATTCTGTCTTTGTATATTTTAAGACAAACAATCACTTCACCTTTGGTGCCTTCATGTGTCACGTAAGCACTCCTGTCAACCATGGAATTGGAAAAAAAGATGTACATTTAGTTTAAAAAAGATAACACTATTTTTGTAGCATGATTCAGATTGTGTCCTTTTAATGTTGCTTTCAACAGGCTGGTCTTGAGGGTTGGATTGTTTTCCTTTTAAACTTCATATGTATTTAAAAAACAACAACAAATGAACAAAAGCCCCTGGCCACTCGTGCATTCTCTCCACTGCATTTGTGTTTCTGCTTACTTAAGGTATCTTAGGGTCAGAGTATATTTCTGTGAAATTATCACAAGTCAGCCAGCATAACTGCATTTGGCATTGTTCAACCATTTGCTCAGTTTGAAGAGCCCAACAGTAAAAGGAAGGTGGTTTCTTAGTAAAAAGAAAAGGACAGAAGGGTGGAAAAAAGAAAGGAAGGAACGAAGGAGGGAAGGAACCATTATCTGACTTTCCCTCTGGGTCTGAAGTAGTGGGCAAGCCTGTATCTTGCTCCTTGCCCTGTTACCCTGGTGACCCCCAGGGTCACCACTCCTTTGGTATCTTCCAAGGTTAGCTCCAGGTAGCCTACTTCTTAGGAACCCCCTAATCTGCTCCAGGCCTCATCTTCCTCCATTTCAGACTGGGTTGTAGACGCCCCAGTGGGCTCATGGCCAGCTCTGGATCGTGGGCCTGAACATGGTAAGGTGCTTGCTATGAGGAGCTGAATGAAACCAAGGTACAGGCACTCTTGCAGCTCCTTCCTTCCCAGTCCTGCAGCACGAGTTGTGTTTGCTCCAGGAAAATCCTAAGTAACTGAGCCATTGCTGCATGAAGGTACAGACTTACCAAAACATGAAACTGTAGCTGTTTATTTTTGTCCTGAAGTCAGAAGTGTAATTCAGTGACATCGGAGGAATCCAGCTAAGTGATAACTCTCCACTAAGATCACTCATTGATACTTGCCCACGGGGCACTTTTGGGTGGCAAACTATCACTTTGGTCTAGAAAGTCTTAGGGGCGTTTTGAGGTGCTAACCATTGGGAAAATTGATTTCTGTGGTTGGCAGGGCAGGGTTCCACTTCTGGCCTCTTAACTTCTGTGGATGCCATGGGGTGAGGGTCTCCCAGCTCCAGCCTGGTTCTTGGGTCTGACCCTATACTTAGGAGTGATTGGGGGGGGTGGCAGGGGACAACGTGTTCGTTTCTATTGAGTACTGCTGTCTTCCCTGACAGCACACAAGGCTGCATACTGCCCTCAATCTTCCTCTTTTCTTTTGAAGGACCAACTTTTCATGGTACTTGTCTTGACTTCATAGTGTTCAAATCTGTATTTTTGTATGTAGAGGGAAATAATTTTCTCAACACTAATCGCTAATAAATATTGTATTAAATTGTCATGAAGGAGTTCTTGTTTAATAAATGGACATGTGAAAATGCCCTTGTGTCTTCTGTCTGTCTGTCCTCCCCCCACACAAGGGCTGTGGCCCCAGCTCCCGTGGCCTCCTCCATTGAGAGTGCCATGGACTCAAGGCACACAGTATCACGCCACCAGGCTCCACTGCCGTGCGGGCATGGAACACGAGTTAAACACTGCGGGCTTCTCTCAGCCTCTGCACATCCCACTTTCATACATTTTCAGGCTGTGCTGTGTTATGATTGAAGGTTAATGCCCCAGCTTGACCACAGTACTCACCAGGGTCCTCCCTGTTAAACCAGTTAACAAACCAAGAGAGCCCTCACTTCTGGCTGACATGGATATGTCCTGGTGTGCAAGTGAGGGAGCTGGTCACTTAGCTATTGTATGTTCTTGGCTGTAGGGTAGCTCATGCTGGTGAGATGCTGGCTACAGCACCTGTACTGCTCTAGGTGACAGAAGGGTTTTCAGACACACACACATTTCATGCACGTAGTCAGTCTGCTTTAATCTATTATGGCATTTCCCCCCACCCTGGTCAAGGCATTCACATGCAAGATAATAGTAAGGCCACAGATGCCCAAAACTTGGACCTAGTCTCTGGCTCA